ATGATCTGTGCTTACTGACAAGTGAGTAACTTCAGTACTTGATTTCCGCGGTGCTTGTGAGAACCAGTACAGTCAAATCATGTTACGAATGAAGTAAATCTAACAAATGTCGATAGAAGATGGATTTGCTATTTTCCTTATTGATTGAACTTAAAATAAGTATTATCTGGAGAGACTGTAGATCCTCAGCTTGTTCCTTGAATTGATAGCGGATAAAAATTATTGTATAGTTACATAGTATGAGTAGCCAAAGATGAAAGATGTCATAACTTAAATGCAGATCAATCAACTGAGCATCACAAAGCATCCGATTGTAATTATCATGCGAGATGATAATAATCGATGGTTAGAGACCTTGAATGACATGGCTCAAAATCGTTCGCAATGGCGCCGGTGCATTTATTCTTTGTGTTCTCTCAAATCCTAATATTCTGCATTCTCCAACACCTGTAGTTTCAACTCTCTAAACTTTTCTCACTGAATCATACTTCTTGAATAGTATCTTATAATCCTAACCTCTCCAATTACTTCTAATTCCCTTACTACCTCTACTACTATTGGATTTGAATTGACAATGACTTCTCTGTGCTGATGTGGTATGGCGACATGAACCAATGTACTTACGTACGAAGTTCTACGTTGCATCTGACTGACTGACTGATCAGGCAAATTGATAAATACCGGTGATACATTTATGAATATTGATATTTTTTAATTGTCTTATCCTGATCGTATCAGATTGTCATGAGACAAACTCAGTATTTAGAAAACAAAAGTATTCGATATATTATCCTTCACTATATTTACCATCACTACTGTTATTTGAATGGTCAACTGCAGAGTAACCAGTAGCATATCTTGCTACCGATTTAATCTTGTTTCATAAGACCCAACCAGCTAATCTTTCAATTTTGTAATCATGAGTCAATCTGTGTTAGACGACGACTAGAAGCCTGAAAAAGGACATTCAATGGGGAAGTAGGTTATAATCAAACAACAGACTGAATCTGTCCATTTTATTGTTAATGTTTTATTCGAAGTGTGATTAGTATTTAATTTTTCTGATATATTTCAATCAGCGATTGAGCATATATTTTTGTTGTACTTGGAAAAGAAAGCCAAACTCGCACTGATCATTATATAATGTTTGTGGAGATAGTTGAATAACATTTAGATTAGACACATGTTTGAATGTAAAAATCACTGAAAGGTCAGAAACAATTAGATTGCTGAGTCGAGTAAGTGTGTGTGGATATTCAGTAAAGTGTACCAGCGAACTCTACAAAGACGACTGAACTTGCCGGTCTATTCAATATTGGTAAACATCTAGGAATGTGTCTAAATATCTAGCTTCAGTCAACCCACGTTATTGTTCATCCACCTTCCATTGTCTTAGGTAGTTAGCCACATAATTTCCGAGGTTTCAAGAGATCAGTCACTGGTGAGAACATCATAATGCAACACAACTATATCACTGTTCGAATTTATGGATAACTGCAAGACATAGTTGAAATTAGGCAGATGCGGTAATGCTAGTTAAGAAATCAAATTAGAGTACTTATTATTGATAATATTAGAAAATAGGATGAATATCATGAATTCTACTACTAAACACATTCTATCTATTCTAAAAAAGCTTTTTCATAGAGGCTATGTCAATGCAACCCACTCAGCACGCCCATTTGCTGCCTAACATTCTTCAAGCATATCAACAACAAGATAATTGTAATGATCACAAATCCCTTATTTCTTGCGTAATTTTAAATTAGAATTTCCAGGCAATTTCAAGGGTCAGAGAACCACATGAATCAATTAGATGTCTACATATAGTTTATTTCATGGATGATTGTCCAATATCAGATTGAAAATTCGATTGTTCAAATAAAAGTATTGTTTACTATTTCTCCTGCACAAACGTTTATTCGTCACTTCTACTTGTATTTCTCATCGTTGTGTAAGAATGTATGATTCAAGATAAGGTGTTGAAAATGTCTCCCAAATAAAGTTCAGCCGCTGGGCCTGTGAGCATTATCCCATCAAACTCACAAATTCAGTGTTTTGTGTCATTGATAAATATTTAGAAGACCAATTTTACTGATGCATATGTTTAAATACTAAGAATTATTATTTTCAGTTATGCATTCTACTACGAACACCATAGGCAATTATTCGAATTTAAGTTAGTCTGATTTTCTTGATAGGTATCGTAGCAGTGCATCTATCAAGAAGCAAAATCTATTCGCTTATTCACAGTTTTCAGTGGTTGGTTTGGTCAAACTTCATTCACGATGAAAAAGTTTTTCCTAACAAAACAAACTGAAAACAATATCGTCATCAGTAAATGTCGATGTCTGTGAAATTCAATAGTCCAATTCACTGATGGAAATCAACACCATTGCATAAATATTGAAGCATCTGTAATTATCACGGTATTACACAAAAGTTTGTTTGAACATTCACTAACGTATAAATCACTTAATTGAAAATCATCCAATTTTGGTCATGTGTAAACTTAGATGGGTTAGTGATCACATTTTGATTTTAAATTAGTGATTCTGAATGACTTTTATAATTTATGGTAGTTAATTGCTCTATAAACAGAAAAACTAAATGCATTACCCAATGTTTACACTACAACTCTATCTGAATGCAACTGTTGACCTAATAAACAATCGATCGCCCAATAAGAGGTACATGTGTAAGGTGAATATTGTTTGGAATCGATAATATGAATGTTTTGCAGTGTCTCTTGGGACACTTTAATAACGAAAGTTTGTTAGTGTAGATTAATAATGATTGATTGATCATTCTACAATTTTCAGATTTCACACGTATGAATAATAATAAATTCCTACGATCAACGTCTAATTACCTCCACAGTAATCGTCATGATGGGTGAAATTGCTGATATTGTTCTGCGAAATGATAGATATTTATTGAAAGTCAAAGTTCTGTTTTGTGCATTCGTTACTCTGTCGATTGTATGGTTGATTGCCATTACACCAAATCCGTTTCAGTGGAATATTATTCAACATAAACTTGACATATCACCTCAAACATACGGCTCGACGCATCCAAATATATCTATCTCAAACAATTCAGAGTTGGATCTTGCTCGATTATTACATGTCATTTATTCTCCCATCAGTAAAACATCTCTTCAGAAATACTCATTGAGATTTAGTCTGGAAGAAAACAGACTGATTAGATTGTACGATTCCTTGGGTAGGAACAAGACAGTAGGTTGATCAATTGAATAAATTATTTTGTTGTTGAATTATATGTAACTGCATTTAATGGCAGGGATTTTCTGATGTGACACTGGTTTTTTGAATGAATCTTGATTATATGTGTAGAAGGTAACATTATAGTTTATTTCATAGTAATGCATTCAAATTACACAATGTTGGAAAGTGGTGACGTTGCGTCATTTATTGGACGTGACATTTCTAGAGGGTCATTAGCTGTTGAAATAGGCCTTAAGTTTACCCAGGTGTCCAGATGCTATTGGGACATTTCTAGAATGGATTCTTTTTAAGCCAGTAAGCTGCAACATGTGCCACACGAATTTGAACTACATTTCTCACATAAATGACTCGGTAGAGCAATTGAAGAATGTGTTTATCTATGAATTTACTGACTTTCATTCTTCCAAACAATCATCACATACGAATGGCGTGAAAGCAAATAACATAGTGAAGAGCGATGGTCATTCTGATGTAAACCAGTGTTTGGTTCGTTGGCCTTGGAATATAGAAGGAATCATAGTTGATGTCATTTGCATACTAACGAGATAGAAATTGGAGTACGTCAGATATCGATATGCATTCCATGAAAAACCCCGCGCAATCTTCACACGTTCCTTTGCAGCAGAAGGTTTGATTGAACTCAGAATTCGTCTGATTGATACAGTTTAGTACGGGTCACGCATAAATGCTTATTAAAATATACAAAAGAATATGGTTTGATCTAATATAATGAACGCTTGTTAGTTGGCTCTATTTTCAGATCTTAAACTGAATGCTTATTCGCGACAGTTGTCAGCTGTAAATGGCACCTGGTGTGATCATCGTCAAGGTGCTACACAGTTGCTTGATGGTTAAATGATTTATTCCGATTCAAAACGATTCGATTATTCCTATGCAGAAAGCATATCCTTTGCACTACTGAATCTTGAAGCGAATGATGCTGAGTTTGAAGCGCAGAGTGACCAATGAATGTGAGATATAGATCCATCCATCCGGACAGTAGGAAATACGATGAAACGCATATCATGAATTCCACTACTACTAGCCCAAATCTACCTATTCCAAAAAGGCTTGTTTCCTAATGTGTAAGTCAATGCAAGCCGTTCAGCTTGCTCAAATGTCCATCAACACTCTTCAAGCATATCAGCAACGGGATAACCCTAAAGATTTCATCATATCCCATTGTAATTAAATCAGTTCCAAAATTCAACACATATGTAGTGCCTCCACATTTATTTGCATCCGCTTACATTTAATTTGCTTAAGCCCTTTTGATTAATCTATTTAACCAAGCCATTTGTATAGCAACAACTCATATGTACCATTGGTATTTTTTATTATCTGGTTTGTATGAGCTGATATGACTGAGGATTGCATAACGCCTACGCACATATGCATCCTATTCGCTTTAATATTAATCTCTTAAATATCACGATGACTCAGACATTTTCCTTTGTATATATACGAGCATTTTAATCTTATTAATTCATTCGCTCAGTCGCATATTCGCTTCTCCGTTCGTTCGCATTGTAATCAAAAGAGTTGACTCTTAGCCTTCTCCAATTTGCTTCTCCGCTTCGCTTTGTGGTGTGCCTCGAACAAACGTATTCATCAATACGAGTTCATCTTCTGATTTATAAACCAAGCTTAAGAACACGCAATAAATATACACACTACACATATACTTGTGTTTTCCGCTGGTTTTAGGTGAAGAAGTTTCTCAAGTTTGGGGATCGTATAATATTTCCATCAATGGACTTTTCAAAATGTCATGCCTCAAAATGTACACTGATTACTAATATGACCAGATGGCGAGAGGCTGATGCTCTCATAATAACGGAAGATATGGTACCTAGTGGATTTCGGCCACCAAAGCAGTTATGGTTCGGTTTAATACATGAATCTCCTGCACACATTGCAATGCCAAGTTTTCTGGAAAATGAAGTAGGTGATTTTGTCTATGTTGAATCGCTCTTGTTGGTCGTTGTGATGTTGAGAGTCACTGACATGTGTCTAAAAGAATTGTGAAAGCTGATTTACTGTCTATTCCATTGACTTCGCTCTTGTACATGTAGTGAATTGATCGAGCTTCCAGAAGTGCTGCGCATTATGAATCAAAAGGTTTTTCCATATATAAATTCAGATTCAAATTTCCAGTCTACATAAATGCTACGTGAATCACATCTATCGATTTAATGATTTTACCAGTTTAATTCAGGGATGTTCTTATGTATTTCTAATTGGAATTTCAAGGATTCGAATAAAGCCAATGTTTACATTTCAGTGACACTATCATAAAATTCGTCTCCCATTCACAAACTATTATTTGTCACTCCTACTTGTTTCTGATAAACCAGTATTTTTCATTATTTTGTGAGAAGTTAATATGCATAACTCGTGGTTGAAATTCCGCCTCGATTAGTTTATTTTCATTTCTGTGTTGATCTACACCGTGCTTATCGTTAAACATCGATGTTTTAATAGTCTCTCTCGACAAAACTGTCAGTATCCCACTTGTGTGGGGGTGGAACGTTTCGTTGTTTCACTAGAATTACACCACTTTATTATTAAAGTCGGTCACAAAAGGAAATAAGATCACTATGTTGAGATGCGACTGTATATACTAAAAGCTATCTATCGTTGTCCACTTATTTTTACAGAAATATTTGATATCCATTCGACTGGATCAATCAAATTCAATGTTATTTACTTGCAAAGTATCATTCATCTAACCGTTTTAAACATAATAATTGGCATCTCGTTTGTTCTAACGCAACTTGTTGACACTATTGTCTCTGCACTATAAAGGGACAACTAGGAATTACGATTCAATCACATAAGTCACAGAGTTCTTCGATCGAATACTTTGTTCATGAACTTCGTTTTTAATATGATACGTTTACATTTTCGGAAATCAGGAATCACTAGTCAGCTGTTTCTTCCAAGTCCAGGTCTTTTGAGCATTGATCACTCATGACTGCACCAGCGATCGATAAATAAAAATTTGTGTTTGCACTGTCACCCTGCAATGTTTAACTGCAAAACTCAACAATCTTTACAAATTACAACTCTAAACGAATAATAAAGTAATATTTTCGTTAGCCTTTCCATTCATAATAATATGCCTAATAACATTTTAATTCAATTTCTCTCTCTATTATGAAGGTTAATTTCACAATATCTTATCGCTTGGATTCAACAATTTATTCTCCATATGGTTCCTATGAACCAAATATAATACAACATGGCGCAGAAACACGGTATTCTCTGCCAAATAGAAACTTCGCTAATGGTAAATCAAAGAAAGTTGCATGGTTCGTGAGTAATTGTGTTCCTAAAAGCCCCAGAATGCAATATGCAAAAGAACTTTCGAAATTTATCTCCGTGAGTTTAACAGTGTTTTTCTTTGATTATCTGCAGATTTTCAATAGTTTCGACGAAACGAATAATTTCTGAAAGACACAAAGTTGTGTGCAACATTTTTCATTGTGAATCAGTCCTTGATGGTAGATTTTTCATATTAAAAATGGTTTGAATTGAAATTAGGAATAAAATGACTGAAATGTTTGCAGAACCACGGAAGTGAAATAAAACGGAAATGGAAAATAAACAATAAGTTTTGCTTAAGTGGTCTTGCAAGATTGATAACAGTGCATGAAGCAAACATCAAAACATGTTGTGAATATTTGAAGGTGAAAGCCGTACGATCGTATATTGTGAGCACCGACATTCCGTATCAGAGAAATGCTGAATTTTGATGAGCTGATATAGGTTTGATGGAGTGCGATAACTTGTTTTGTTTCGTGAGATCCAAAATACATGGATCTGTTAGACTATGCAATATATAATGCGGCGCTATTGAAGACTAACTCACTGTTTAGAACTATTCGGATTGCCTGCTCTCCAATAATTTCATCGCATTCGTGGACATTAAATATTAGCTACATCAGAGATCAAGTAAATGAAATCACTTTAACTTTCCCATGGGTGCGAAATCAAAATGTGCCTTACTTACATTCACACCCTTTTTATCGTAGTTTCATAGCTAATGATTGGTCACCTCGTGTTGAATTTGAATATCCGAAAATGCACCCGACCAAAAGATGTGCTCATTACTTCAGTTCATCAGAATGTTATCAGAAATTCTATGTACTGGATTTCGCATCACATCGTTGTAAGCTTACATTTTAAATGGATGTGCTATTCAGACACTACAAATAAACAAATGAGTATAATTTAATAATTCAATAGTACACGGAATTTTTCTAATTTTAGGTTGATATTTATGGTGCATGTGGTACGTTAGTATGCCATAAGAATTATTCAATCGACAGATCAACAGAGAGCTGCCTACAAATGATTCGTGGAAATTACAAGTTTTATCTGAGCTTTGAAAACAGTTTGTGCACTGAATATATAACAGAAAAGCTCTACAAAAATGCACTTAAGTAAGTAACTTGGCATTTTTCGTGCAGTTCAATGTGGTCAAGTTCATCGACGTGTTTGTATTCGTGAATTATCTCAAAATTCCAAATCACTTCAATACAAAGAAACTAGATTGACTGGTATTACAATAGCAAATTAAGATTATGAGAGATTTCATCACAATCAAATATAACTAACATTGAAAATATGAGTTGACGAAAGAAATCAATCCGTAGAAATAAATTTTGTAAAATGATAGTGAAACTAGGAGCGTAAGGAGAAGATAATACCGCAAGTCAAACGGTGATGAGAGTTTGAACGGGTCACTGGCTCGCAATATAGACATATGCATTGTCTTCATCAGGCTCAAAGTATAATCAGGCATATACTGAACCACAATTCAACACTATTAGCATAGACGGGTGGTGGTTGATATTGGAATCCAGGACGTGCCCTTCGTTCTATTTCATACTCGCCTGTAGTCAGAAATACCTGACTCTGGGGCTTGATGTTCCACGTGTAACTGCAACCAAGTGGCCTTCTCTATGGAAGCCAAACCAGCTGAAGAACCCGGAATGGGACGAATCGTTCATCCCGAACTACACGGACGGCCATCATTCTTCTATGCCAGTAATTTTGTGTTATGGTTCCGTTTTTACAACATAGCTCCATCGCAATATCCAGGTCATTTGCACTGAATGAACATATCCAAAAGACTAATAAAGCTAGCGTCGCTCACAAAATCATGCAAAAATAATCCCAAACGTGTTATATTCATTCAAGAAAAGTGTCCTTGTTTATGAAAATTCACAAAACTACTAGGTTGCATTGTGTTGCTATACTGAAGTGTATTCGGCTCACATTTATGTTACTGATGTAAGTCAATTAGTGGTTGAGATATTTAATAATCGCGAAAATATCGGAAAATATCTTATCTGACTACGGACTGATGTCATCACTACCAAGGTTTCACTTGATAACCTCAAAGAAATTGAGCGTAGGGAGGATAATTGGTATGTAGTATCCCTATGATTGGGAAAGTTACAGTTTCACTGGTAGTTCGAGACTCAGTGAAAGCCGCTTATTCTTAGACAGAAGAGACGAATGAATTCATCTGTTTACACCGTTTAGTGTGAATTGATCATGCTCTAGCGTTTAGTAAGCCGAAATATTAACAGTCACGCTGTCACTGAACTTTCAAATTATTGGAAACGGTTTGTTCGAATTACGTTTCCACCAAGGTTTCATGAACTACTATACTTATTATTGGTTTCAAGAAACGAAATACTCCCAATTGTGATGGGTGCCTCCATCGAAGAATATCAAAGAGTTGCTCCTCCATACTCTTTCATTCATGTCGACCAGTTTGAATCACCAGCTAAACTGGCAGACTACTTGAATTATTTGGACAAAAACGATACTGCATACAACGAGTACTTTGCATGGCATGGTCACGGAATCATTCATGATTTTGATGCCAAACCACAATGTGCAATGTGTCTACTAGCCCACACATCTGCAATATTTGGTCCGTATTGGGTTCCGAGAGTGGCAAAATGGTGGAATGATGGATGCAATGGACGGAAATTGCGTTGGAAGCCATGAATTAAGAACACTATAGCCTTTCACATTGTAAAAAATACCAACGTAAATAAAAAATTGTTGTTTATTCAATTGCTATGGTCTGAATTGAAATTAGCGTATACAAAATCATGTCACACAGTTGTATGCTATTATGATGGTTTCCGTGTGTGCGCTTAGACGATACGTGGATTTCAAGGGGCTGAGAGCTATCTTGAATTTAATGTGTTTGCCAGCTACAAATTTTCAACATCATCTCAGTCGCAGTGAACGATTCTGATAATGTTCATTCTGTTGTCCAGTGCTTCTTTCGATCCACTATCATTGTTGCTATCACCAAGTGGTGAACTGAAGTGATTGAGTGAAACCCATGTAGATATGCACATGCGCTTGTGTGAGAATGCGGTGCATAATGTGATCCATTTGTTGAGGGCACATTGACTGGAGAATCTCTCGGCGTCCATTCGAAAATTGTAATTCAGATCCTCTATGAGAACAGTCAAATCTTTTGTTGGGAATTTCTCGACTATGGAATTGATTTTTGGCGTTTTCATTATAGTCGTCGATAAGCGCACAGTGTTGGATGACGTCGATTGTAGTGCTAACTTTTTTTATTTGAAGGATGATTTGATGTTTCTGAGTCCATGAGATTACCATCCTATCATCATTTTCTGCGCTCGTTTGCACAGCACCATTGCAACTCCTTTTGCATGAGAAGTGCTTTCTTGTTGATGTTCATTGTATAACAACGTCTGTCCTATGACCAGTCAATTTCGCACATTTTCTCAATTTCTCTCAGTAAGTCAAAATCGCAGAAAAATTTATCTAGTAAGCTCTGCAGCCACTTGAATGACTCTTCTCGCCTGGCAAAATGAACAAACATTCCAAATGCCTACTCAACTAGTTGCTCTGTTTGTCAGA